AAGCAGGCAAATTTGCCTGCGAACCTCTACAGTTTAAGGGATATTACTGATTAAACTTAAAATTAATGATGAGTTATGTACAAAGTATTATAATAAATTGGTAGTTTATGATAGGAATGAAATTAGGAATAAAAGTAAAAGAAAGAATGATGATTTTGCTTATAATGCTAGAAAATATTAGAAATGGATTTATTTATTGCAACTAACATATAAATAATTATTAAATACTATTACAAATATTGAAAAACTTGAATAAGAAATATTAGAATTAAAGAAAAAAGTAAATAGTTTTAATTCCAGTATGTAATTTATTTAATAATTTTTTTTTTATTAATATATTAATTATTTTAATTTATTAATTTATTAATTATAGCATTTTCAGATTATTTTAATGATCAAATAACATGAATGACTAAAGTTATTTATTAAGATCAAAGGGAAGGGAATTTACCAAAATTAAATGCAACAGATTTTATTAAATTTATAGAAAGCTGTGATCTAAAATTTCAGGAATTTTTTGATATTTTATTTAAAGTAATGAATCCTAAAAAAAGAGTCAGAAAATTCAAGAGACTTTATGACAAAATATTATGATACTTTGTTATCAAATGGCAGGATTGCGAAATAAACAAATAAGTGGTACTAAAACTACTATTAGATTATTTTTTGTTGAATTAGAAACATCTACACATTGTGTTAATACTGTTACAAAAATGGAATTTAGTACAACATATCAAACAACATTTAATAAGTTTAATAAAATTGAAAATATATATCAATCAAGTATACAATCTTATATTCAAGATTTTGTAAGTTAGTTCTTTTTTTTAATATTAACTTTTTATATTTAGAATTTTATTTTTTTTATATTAAAGTTATAATATTAATTTTTTTTTTTGTATTAAAAAAAATATTTTTTTTTATTTTATTTTATTTTTTTTAGTAAAATAAATTATAAATTATAAATAAAAAAATTTTTTGATTTTAAAATACTAATTATTTAGTTTAATTTAAATTCTAGTCTAATAATCTTTTAGTTATATGTGTAGATGATTATCATAATATACATGAAACTCATATTATATCTGTAAACTCTACTTCACAAATTGTTCATATAGCAACTATATTATTTAATACAATACAAACACTACTAAATTTCCTATTTCTTTGATTATAACTTTCCTATTCATAATTCTCATGGTGTCAATGTATTTCTTCTCAAAAAAATTTGTAAAGAATTTATTGTAAAATTTGGCTAAAAGTTACAACTTAATAAAATTAAACTGGAATTTTATAATAAATGTAATTGATGATACAGATTTGATTGAAAATTTGACAATTCATTCTTATGATACGAATATTTTAAAAAAATATCATTAAAAATTTGATAAAATGAAATTAATAGATTATATTGAATTAGATTTAAAGAATACTAAAAATTATTTGTAAACTGTTAATATATTTATTAAGTTAGTATATAAATAAATTATAATTAAAAATTCAACTAACTTATCTTTTTTTTTAAAATTTATCAGAAATTAAAAGATATCTTGAAAAGTATATAATTCAACTTCCAGCTGATTTTTCAGGCCAACTTTTTATAAGAAGAGCAATTATAAATAAATTAAAGTTAGAATCAAAATCATCTATTCCAAATAAAATTATATATCTAATTCTATTTTTAGGACCTCTTTATGTATCACTCAATACATATAAATCTATATTTATTACATTCTATTCTTTTTTTAATAGCATGTATAAATCTGTTTTTGGAAAAACTAAAAAAATTGGTGGCAAAACCTAAACTATAAAGAATAAATCTTCTATTATATTTAGTATATGAAGGCTGGCTCCTAGTTAAAAAATATGTTATAAAAAAATTTAAAATATCTAAAGATATTTCATATATTATTTTTTTTTGATTTGTTAGATAATTTAATATCAGCAAGTTTAGAAATATATACTTACTTATTTAACAAAAATAAATTTGAAGAATATGTTGATACTATATTTTACCTTTGGACTGTCATACAACAATTTTATAGACATAATTATAATAAAATTATGCTTGTCTTTTTGTCAGATATTTCTTATTGGAAAGCAATACAACATCTAATACTTGATACTTTAAAAATGGATTTAAACATTTTTGATGAATATCTAGTTAAAAATTTTCATAGTTTATTATGTCATCATACTAGTACAAAAGTATCTACTAGAAAATTATTAAGAAGAGATGCATTATTCAAAGATCATTATTGATATGAAAATTCTTTTGTAAAGTCTTTTGAATCTAAATGTGATTATCCCTATTCAAAAAAATATCTTGATAGTTTAATTAAATTATTAGCTATTTTTTACTTAGAGTTTTTTAATAATTTATGGAAAAATCCTAATGGAGCTGAATTAAAAAAAGAAGAAACAAGAATTAAAAAAGATTGTTATTACTTTTCTGATATTGAAACATGATTTTTTTTTAGTATATTATCATTAAGATATTATTCAAAATATCAACTAGTAACTAATAAACTATGTGATCACCTAGAATGTATAGATCTATCATGGAATAATAGTCAAATATTAATTTGTGGATATAGATATCATGAAATTTGCTTTCATATTTTAGGCTTATATTATATACATTATTATAATTACCTTTCTAATTCAATTGAAGAATTATCACAATCTTATAATCAAAGATTATAAGTAAATAAAGATATTGATAATTGACAGACTTTTGAACATAAAATCATGAAGAAGAATTAGATAATATCAAAGTTATATCAAGAGAAGTTAAAATTGATATAGAATTAAAGAAAAGAATATTAGGTAAGTTGATTTAATCTTTTTTAATTTTAATTTAATCTTATATAATTATTATAAAATTTCAACAAAATTTGTTAAAAATTGTGTACCAGTTGATTTTAAAATGTAAATTTTTGATTAATAATTATATTTGAAATAAAAAAATTTAATTTTTTTTATTTTGAATTTTTAATTTTATATTACAAAATATTTATTGAATTTTATTAGCTGATTAATGTTGATCCTCTCAAAAATCAGACCAATAAATGGATTTTTAACTATGCTGAGAAAGAGTTAAAAGATGAAAATGTATATTTGTTATTATGTTTAAATTATAATCCTTTATATTTTTTTAAACAGCTTATTAAAAAGTATTATCTTACTTTGTTCCTTGTATGACTAAGAATTTCTATAGAATAATTTACCAGCTAATCATTTTAAAAGCTTTCTTGCTTTATTTATACCTCTTTCACTTGCTTTACTTGGTCTTTTTGAGCTTCTTATACAACTTGTTTAAGTTATTTATGCAGCTTAAATATTTTTTAAAGTCAGATTTTTTTTAAAAAGGAAGTTTTTTTTAATATCAATATATAGGTCTATTATAATTCAGAAGATGTATTACATTTTTAAAGAGGAATAAAATCAGAAGCGAATAGGATTTTATTTTTCAGTTTATATTCAAGTCTTCTAAGAGATTTGATTGAAAATAAAATTAGAGGTAAATATTCTTATTAGCTGCTTTTAGCTGTGTTTCTTATTATTTTCTTTTATAAGTTTTAAGAATGTTTATTGACTGAAATTGATTATCTGTTTAATTTCACAGCAGCAAAACTTGGATTTGATACTATCTTGATCGTTTCAATCATCTCAATCTGTATCTTATCAGGAAAAAATTTGAGAAAATGAAAAAAAAAGAGCATAAGTTACAAAACAAAATTTTTGAAAAGTACAATTAGTTAGTGATATATGCAATTATATCTATAATATTCATCTTTTATCTTATAAAAAGATCATATCTAAGTTAAATATTCTTATATTGGTAAGGAATTTTGAAGGATATATGGAAGGTTAAGGTTCAATATGGTGAACAATGTATTGAAATCAATATACAGTTAACGATCAAAATTATGTGAACATTTTGATTTATCAAAATTAGGCAGCTCGATCTTTATGTGATTATATAATTAAAAACAATATGTTCTTTTTTACTTATAATGATAAACAATACCCCAAAACTTTTCTTTTTTAAGTAAGTTCATATTAAATATGAAGTACTTACTTCCAAAACTCGTAGTGTTATTGCTTATATTATAAATGTGAACAGTCAGGTTATACCATAGCTAAACAGCTAGGAAGCAATAAAATAGCTATTTATATTATTCTTAAACGTCTTCGCGAAATCCAATTCTTTAAGACCAACTCCACCACCATCTAGTTTGAAAGTATTTAAAGGATGCATGGAAAGATATTCCTTCAGAATATTGCAAAAAACTGATTGATATTATACTGCAGCAAATTATCGCAAATGGAAATAGGATTAATTATTAAATTTTTTATAAATAAAGATATATTTGTATTTATTTTGTTAACATATTATTTTATTTTATTATGTATATATAATTTTTTTTTGATTTTAAAATGTCCGCATAATTTTGGTCATTGACTGTAGTAGAGAAAATATATTAAAATTTAAATAGAAAAAAACTAGATAATTTGTATTCAATAACCCTTTTCTGTTTTGTATAATTAATCTTGACAATAAACATTTAATTTTACGTGAAATTTTTAACGATAAAGAATTAAGAGTAATGCATAAATGTGAAAAGGTGGAGAAATGGAAATACATAAGACCTGAATTTGAAGTATAAATTAAAGACCTGGTAATATCAAATGATGTGAATTCCTTACAAGCATTACCTCCAATTGATTTAATAAACATAGAAAAGTTAGAATATAAATATATTTTGAAAATGTTTTAACATTTGTAAGTATCTATTATATCAGAAATTTTTGTTGTAAAATTGCATTTTGTATAATATATAGCAAGATTACAAATTCTTACCCAATTTTATATAGAAGCTTGCAAGCCTGTTTCCTAATGTAATTATATATGATTTATCAGAAAAATTAGTACTAATCAATCCTTATATTGTTTATTTAAAAAAGTATTTTAAAATTGAAGAAGATATGAAGAAATGTCTAAAGGTAGGAAAGATATATTAGAAGACATATACATTCACAAAGTAGTATATGAAATTATATATGAAACTGTTTAAGGACTCAGTGATCAAATACAACTTGACTGGTAATTTTACTTTTCTACTTTAAATTTATTTATTTTATATTATTTTATTAATGATTTGAAAATAAATTTAGATCTACAAAAATAGCTGAAGATGAAAACAATAATGTTAATTGTGATTATAATAGTTGGTATTTGCGATTATCTGAAGTGAAAAGACAGAATTACATCAACTTATTCAAATCTATTAAGAAATCAGATTGGATGACATCCTACTTATTTGAAGATGATAAATATGAATTCATTTATGGAGAAGCAGCAGATTCCCCTTATTCACAATTAATCATGAGAACTGAAGAAAATAGAAGAAAATTGATTAAGTTTCTACGTCATTTCAAAAATTGTTTAAGAAAAAGATACAAATAAATTTTATGTCAATATTCAATGAAAAAGTTGAAAACCTATTAGAAAATATTTTAAGATTTGAAATGTTAACATCTGGTAAAGTTTTTTTATGATCCTTTATTGTAAAATACAGTATTTATAAATGTCTTCTTTTTTTATGTCTGTAGGTATATCATTAAAGATAATATATTATGATACTTCTTAATTTGGAAGCAGAAGAATACTGCAAATTATAAATGTAAAAGTATCACTAAAATTTGATTGTAAAACCTATATTGTAAAAAATTATCTTTTAGGATTATTAATTTTCTGAAGAGAAGTTTTAGAGTCTCTTAAATATTTAAGAAATCTCGAGAATTTAATTGAAAGAAAAATGAATGTATTTGCAAATATTCTATATATACTACCATTAGAATCAGAAGATAATGTATTTTCATTTCTAATGAAAAAAAATAGGCTGAATTATTAATTTTTATTCATTTAATTAAATTTTTAAAAAAATAACAAAATTGTTAATTATAAATTATATATAATATGTAAAAAATTATATTACATCATCATGATAGACATACGCACTAATTTTTATGTTATGCAATGTAATTTAAAATGAAAAAACCTTATTATTATTATAACTCAATTAAAGTAATAATATCTTAATTATATAAATCTTCAATTTAACTCTTATTTCATCTGATTATATTCACAAATTTGACATACTTTACTTTGTACCAATTTTTATACTATTGAAAAAGAGTTGCATAGTGAATATAAAAGAAATTAGAAACTCAAAATATGGAAAGATTATAGAAACAAAGTAGAAGACAGAAGATTTGTTAAATTTACTGTTCTTAAGTAATTTTTTGATATTTGAATAATATATTATCTTTTAAAGTTGTGTATATATATAATGTAAAATAGCAATTTGAGAATTATGGAAAATTTAAAAATAAATAAATCGAAAAGAAAATCAAAAAATCAATACAGAAATATTAATAATATTATCTCTTAAACTATAACACATTTTTGATAAAAATTGAAAGCCAAAAATCACTTTCTATCTAACCCAATGAAATTTTTATAATTTTTTTAAATTATGTAATTTATATTATGTGTTATATTTATATGTATTTTGTTTTCATTTAATAATAATGAACTTTTCGAAAAAATAAAAGAAAATTTTTATAACTTATAAAAATTTTTTATAAAATACAGTGAATCTAATGAAACTTGTATTGCTATTATTCACCAGAATCAGTAATTTAAGTTAGAAATATTTGAAAGCTTCTTTATTATTAAGTTTTTAAAATTATGAATATAAAACATTAATTTTATTATTTTACCAATAATGATTTTATCTTATTCATTTTAATTTAAATCTAGATTATAATTGTTTTTTATAGAATCAGTTAATAAGTTAAGGATCTTTATTTTCTTTTTTATATTGATTATTAAATATATACTTAAAAATATTTTTGATATTTATTTATAATTTGATTCTTTTCTGCCCTTGCTTGTTACCACAGAATCAATTTTAAAATCTTTTTTATTTTAAAATATATGAAAACTTATAAAGTAAACATAAAATTATATATAGGAATAAATGTATATATATGAAAAGTAATAATAAATTAACAAATATAATAGTTCTAATGAATATCAAAAAGCATTTAATTTTTTAGAAAAAGGATGTTATTATGGTTACTCTTCAAGAATTTTTAAGAAAGAATTTGTAGAATTAAGGAAATCTTTTCAAGCTCTTTCTAAAGCAAAATAATATATATTTTTAATAGCCTAACTTAAGGTAATAAATGGTAGATCAATAAGTACTAGTAGACATCTTAAAAAAAACCAGATCTAATAAAAGAACTTTCTTTCATTGAGATCATAATACACTTCTTTGTCAAAAAACTTATTTCAATATGTTAGAAATTGGTAAGACTTACTTTAAAAATATCAAAAATCACCTGATAAGCAATTGTCTTCTAGCAAGAGTTTATAGTAATATTAAAAGAATGCCTTAATGAAAAACTAAAATGATAATTGATAAAAATATTGCAGTAGTAGTAAAGAATTTTCTGAAAAATTATGCAGAAATCTATGGATTACCAAGTCTAAAAAGAAGTATTAATAGAATAACTTAATCAATTATATTTTTACTAGCTGAAATGAGTTATAAATCAGTCAATAGAGATTTTTTGGTTGGTTTAAAAGAAGATAGCAAATTGAAATCCTTAAAATATAATGCTTTCAAAAAATTATAATATTAATTAACACTAGAAATTCAAATTATGAGTTTCAGGACTGATTTATATGATATTTGTTAGCATTTAAGTGATAGTTTACATTATAATACTTACCAAGAGGAAAAAGCTAAAGATTTGCTTAAAAAATTTAAAAAACATTTATCTAAGGTTAAATTAGAAAGAAATTATTATAATAAAAACATCAAATTAGCAGAAGAATAAAGAAAATTAGTTAATCAAAATTATTCAAAGAGTAAAATATTATATTATAACATTGATTTCACTACTTATTATAATTATAATTGAGCCTAAAATATTTATATATTATATTTAGATCAATAAGTAAGTAAAATCTATTACCTTAGTTCATGTAAAATCCATTTATTTAATATTCAAAATAAAGCAGTAAAGGAACAAATTAATTATATTTTTAATAAAGATGAAATTATAGAAAAAGATCCTAATGATACTCTTAGTATGATTTTTGATGAAATTAAAAAATTAAATAAAATGAAAAGCATTTAAAGATTACTTGTGATAATGCTGAAAACTAAAATAAAAATAATACTACTATTTGATTTTATTTATATTTAGTAATTTGTGATTATTATAAAAATATTGAATTGAATTCATCATTCCTGAACATACTAAATTCAAATGTGATAGTAATTTTAGCATAATTAAAAAAATTCTATAGAAGAATAAGAGTAGATTATCTGGATCATATGGTTTTAATAATAAAAAAGTCTAGTCTAGCTAGATTAAATAAAGCTTAGTATTATAAAGGTAGAAAAGGTTTTAATGTTTAAATATTAAAACTATTTTGGGAATTTATTTTAAAAAATTACTAAGCATTCAGAAATATCAACATTTTCTTTTTGAAGCATTTAATCTTAATACAGTGAAAGTTCAAGAAATTGCTAATGGACCTTTTATTGAGTTTAATTTATTGAAAACTAAAAAAGCAGATATTTTTGAAGAAATTAAAGCTTTATCTATTTTAGTATTAATACTACCTTCTTTGGATTACAAAAAGCAAGAATATCTTTATCAAAATATTCGTTTATTTGTTAGAGATAAATTTAAAGATATTATTTGTCTAAAACCATTTTATATTAGTAAAAAATAAAATATTCAAAATAAAATCACTTTCATAACTTTATCATTTATTAATTTTTCTCTTGCTATCATTAAATTTAATAAGTTTAATCTTTTTTCTACTTTTAAAGTAAAAAAGTACTATATACTTAATATATCCTTATAAAAAGGATATAAGTATATTAAAAGAATATATAAAAAAAAGAACAAATATAGTAAACATTATAAATAAATAATAACAAGTAAACAAAATACTAATAAATAAAATAGAATTATTAAAGAAACAATTAGCTGAAAAAGAAGAAAACTTTAAATTAAGAACTTAAAATACTATTTATAGCTTTATTGAAAGTTTAAAATATATTGGAACAAGTTTAAGAATCTTAGAAAGATTTACTTGATCTAACAATAGTTGAGTAAGTTATCTAGAAAAGAATGGAATTGAAATTGGAAGAGTTATTTTTAGTGATAGATTCACTCCTAAAAATATTATTAAAATTTGATAGTGAAGCATTAAATTATGAAAAAGTTTTTGGTTTTACTTATCAAAAAAAAAAGAAATTAAAAAAAAAAAATGTTAATTTAGAAGAAAAAGTTGCTGATTTAGAAACAAAGCAAAAAGAATTGAAAATAAAAGTAAAAGAGTTAGAAGATAAAGTAGAAATAAAATGAAAGAAAGTTAAAAAAGTATTAAATAGCTATAAAGTAAAGAAAATACTAAATGAATGAAATGATACTAAAACATAATGCTATAATAGGCAAACTTTTAAACTAAATAGATTTGTTGAAAAATAACTTATTAGCTAAAAATCAGAAAATAAACTGAAGAGATAATTTAGCAAACAAAGAATTACCAGTCAAAATAATAAAAAGAAAATAGATTACAAAAGTTTAAATAATTAGTAAATAAAATAAAAGAAAAAACTAAAGAGAAATTTTAAGCTTTTATTATTCAGAATAGTAATAAGATTAATATAAAATTAGAATATAGAATTCTAGAAATAGCAAAGGAAGATGAACAAAAGTGTAACTTCTGTTTTCTAGATTTTGATGATCTAACTCTTCTTAATTTTGATACTGCTCTTGCTACTTATTAAATAGTGGCTTATAATACTTCTAATAGTTATTCTGACATTGTCTTTATTTGTGATGAATGTAAAACAATTATGATAATAATACTCTTCTATAATATAAGAAATATAGTAGATTAAAAAGAAATAGAAACAGATATTTTTGTAGTCATTTAAAAACTAAATTAACTAAACCACTTTCTGACAAAGAATTACTTTCATAAGCTTTTAATTTTCACTTAGAAAATAAAGCTAAAGAACTAAAAAAAAAGTTATCAATTATCAAAGAAGAATTAAAAATTGAAAGAGAAGAAGTATTTAAATTTCAGAAAAAATCAGAAGAGTGAAGTAAAAAGCAAAACAGGAGTTACTGAACAAGATTAAATAAAAAAAGCAGAAATTATTAAATTGACTCAGAAAATTGAACAATTAAAAAATTTAACCCCTCAAGAGTTAGTCAATAAGTTAAATACTTATAAGGTAGAAAATAAGAAATTAAAGTATCAGTTAGAACAATTATAATAGAATGATCAATTAACTGTTCAAATTAAAGTCAAAGAGACCAAAAGATGACTTTGATTGAAAATAAGAAAGTAATTGAGAAAAAATTTAGTTGTTTTTCTTTATATAGACTAATTCATTCTAACAATCAAAAAAAATGGTAGTTATTTTTCTTTTAAAGATTTTTGCTTTTTATTAGGTAATAATATATTATCATAATACTTTCTTTTCATGTTTATTATTTTTCTTTCTCCTTGATAAATTTTATAAGTAACCTTTCTTTTTTTAGATAAGCTTTCAATATTTGAGTATCATTTATTTTGAAAATATAAGAAACAATTTTTTCACCTTATTCTTTCTTCAAAATACTTCTAATGGTGTTATAATTCTTGGGTTTTATAGTAGATCTGATATAAATTAACTTCATATTAATATAGAAATAGTTTTATATATCATTTAAAATAACAAATTGGATATTATAAAACTGTTAATTATATAATCACATTATAAATGACTAAATTTTGAACCCTGAAATTTTTAATAATTTGTTTAATTTTGTTGTAGTATGCCTTAAATACAAATAAATATAAATATTCATGATATTACTGAGTTCATTTTTAGTTAACTTAATATCTAAATCAAAAGATTATGATAATTAATTCTATTTGCTATGTTTATAACTTTAGGATTTTATTTAAATCTTATAAGTATCTATTATACTTAAATCAACTTGACAATTTATTATGTCTTAAAATTTAAAATATATTTAGTTGAACTTATAATGATAAATTTAATAGTAAGTTAATATAAGGTATTACAACAAATTCTAAATAAGAAATAACATTGAAAAAAAAAGAAATTTTTGTAATTTTTAATTGATTTCTTTATTAAATCTTAAAACTCATATGAAACTTATAAATAACTTAATTTACAACTTAAATAAAAAGTTATTCTGTTATAAAAATTAATTATTACAGTTAACTATTTTATTATGTTATAATTGTAAACTTTAGCTATAAAATAATAGTAAAAGAAAAAGAAAAAGAAATATAAAATATAAGACAAATTATAAAAATAATAAAAATAAAGAAAATTAATAATAATGATATTTAAAAGTAAAAAATTATCTATTATTATAAATATAAATAAATTAACAGTATTAAAAGAATCAGGTAAATTCAGTCAATCAGGTAAATCATATAAATCTTTAATATTTTTCTGATTTTTCTATTACAATAATTATTAATCATTACTGTATATCATTACCTGATAATTTTTATGTAATATTTTTTGCATTTGTGATGACATTTATTTCTAATATTAATAATACTAATATTTTTTAAGTTTCAGATAATTTTTAATATTATAATTTAAATTAAGTTTGGATTTGAATTAAATCAGACATTTTAAAAATTATATTAAGATAAAACTAATATTATTTAAATTTTAGATTTAGATTCAGTATCTCTTAGATTATAGAGATTTGTAGGTAAATTTATCTATTTTTTTTTACTATAGATTCTCTTTTAGTTTACTTTTATAAATAATTAAAATTTTTTAAATATATTTTTTTAAATTAATTTTATAAATATGAGCACTTTGCAATAGAAAAAAAGAAACCTGTCAAAAAAATTTTTTTTTGAATTAATATTAAATCCGAATTTATTTTACTAAAAAAAAATAATAATTAGTTTATAAAGTATATATTATATTATAGTATTTTTTATTTTTTAATTATATAATAAAATAATCTAAAGTTATTTATAAGCTAAAAATTTGTAATTTTTAAAGAATTTTATTATTAACCTTTAACAATTTTATTATTATAAAAAATAACTTTAATTATTATAATTTTATGATTTATTAAGAAATTTTATAACTCTAATTAATAATGTAACAGGGTTATTGTAACTTAATTGATCTACATAATGCATTGTAAATAGTTACATAAGTGACACAGTTAATATTATTAGATATATTTGACATACCTAACATATATGATACCGTACCGTTCTGAAATTAAGCAACCCTTTTTTGCTATAGGGTTGCTTAATTTCGGGTACTTTTTCTTTCATAGAAGAAGAAACGAAAAAATTGCTGCATAATAAACATTTCGCCATCACGTTATGCAAAATAATCAAAAGCATATTTTGTCTTTTTTAGTTGTTTACGGTACGCTTCTACCTTCCGCATTACATCATCCCACTCTAGACCTTCTGAATTACTCTCAGCGATGCAAACAATAGATGGTTCTTGAAGGTCTAAATCCATTTCATTTTCTCCAACCTCTTCACAAGTCTCAAGATCCATTTCATCATTAGTGCTTAAACCCGGAGGATCTACTTCGTGTTGTGAACTCTGCCGTTGATCGATGTGATTATTGCTTCCGATCTCTTGAGGCCCTTGAAATAACTCTATCTCATTTTTTTCACAAGTCTCTGGAAGATCCGCTTCATCGTTAGTGTTTACATCCGAAGGATCCACTTCATGTTGTGAACTCTGCCGTTGATCGATGTGATTATTGCTTCTGGTCTCTTGAATCTTGATGGGAGATTAAAAATTAGTGAAGATTCAATTGACAATGTATTTTCAAGAATAGAACCACACCTCCTTACAGCTACCCTCCTTTATATTATTGTCCTTGGTATCAGTTGGAATGAGCCGGATAGACTGCCCAGGCAATTGAGGAGAAGGAAAGGATGGTGACTCATTTAACTTCAACTTTGTCTTTTTGGATTATGACAATATAAGAAAAAACATTAATTAATTTTAATAAATTCGGAGCTTCAACGATAGACAATTAATATAATTATTCTACCTTTTTACACCTTACTGGAATAAGCTCAAATTCATCCTCCTCCTCTGATTCCTCACTAAAAATACATGTAAAGAATTTAATGTCAAATTTGCAAATTATAAAAAGTAAACATAAAGTAAACCTACGAAGGAATATATTCGGATGAGGAATCTAACGGAGTATACTCAGACGAGGAATCCAACCGTGTAGTCGGAGTATACTCAAATGAGGAATCTAACTTTGTAGTCTGTTCGCCTGATTTCAAGCCAACTGCTGGGATGTATCCCGCCGGGAGCAAAGATAAAAGATTTTGCTGGTGTATTTCATTAGTTGTCTTGATTGCATTCACAACTCCGTCAGTTGTTGCTCTAGCGGACTGTAATATCCCTTCAGCCTTGTATCAGAATCAAAAAGCTGTTATTTTTTTGCAACCCACACCAATGCAATAGTACATTCCACTTACCCATGCGATATCGATCTGATTCTTCAGCTCCTTTTGACGTTCGACTTCTTTCCAAAAGTCGGCAACGTTTGGGTCAGACATTTGGTTCTAGATAATACCAAAAAAATACAGATAGATAAGTTAAACCTTCCATGACGACCTAGAAGGTAATCAACAAGACATCTAGAAGGTGTCCTGCCTAGTCATGGCTGATACGTTAACAAGAGCATCTAAAAGGTGCCCTTTAATTTCATTTCACCACAACGATCTAGAAGGTTGTCAACAAAGCATCTAGAAGGTGCCCTGCCTAGTCATGGCGAAAGTACTTGCCTTCAAGGCGCGAAGCAACTTGCTAGCCCGTTCCACTTGTTCAACCTTAAAACAACTCTCTTTGTTATTTGCAATTGTTTCCAGATTTTTCTTAAGCCAGGTATTCTCTTTATGAAAATATTACTAAAATTACTTTGTCGTTTTCGAAATTCGTAATATCCGTGAATGGTCCAAGAATTAGGCGACGCGTTGAAATATGTGAGATTTGTAGTTTTTGGATCCATACTTTCAGGTATTAGTTTAACGCGACAAGATAATTACGCGTCCAAGCCACAAAAAAAAATAATCACATGATATTAATCAAGACACATGATTCTGATCATCATTTTTTTATTAATGATTTTTTCAGAAAAGTACCAATTTGTAGGATCTGCACTTTTGAAGAAACTACACTAATCTGATTACATCACGAAAATCTGATCAATGGATCCACTTAAATTTATAATAAAAAAAACTTTTGACACTACCCATATACAAAGGAGGTTTTTTTTGTTATGCGTAAAGCTTTGAATATATCAGATATGCAGGAAAGTTTTAAAACAAATTACTTATTCCTGTGATACATAATGTCATTTATACTAAAATGTTTCTAATGTTACTGTCTATTTATCAAGTTCTGGAAGAAAATTTTGCATAAACAATTTCTCAATCCCTCAATCAATACTATGAAAAAAATATAATGTTTGGTAAATTAATTGCGTTAGTATTTCGTAAATGATTTGAATCAGATTTGATTCAAAATTTACAGAATCCTAAATTGCGTTAATTGCGTCTTTGCTTTTATTAATCACATAAGAAAAAATTATAAAATACAGGTCATAGCTTGCTACATGATAATGCTATCCTAAACTAATTTATTCAGTTTATTCTCCTTTTACAAGATAGTCTGCTAATGATACCTTTCAGAATTCTGTAATTTTAAAGTTAATAATATTATTTTAAAATAGAAAAATTTTCATCTAACTCTAGTAACAGTATAGAACTTATACCATCAAATTACAAAAGCATTAATTAGACATAAATTATACTTGAGAGCATTATTTCTTCAGGAATAGCATTTACATTACATATATATTCCTTTCGCTACCTTCTTACATCTTTTGCAATACAAATATAAGTGATGATTACATTTTTCACAAACTTTATAACCATGCTTTTATTCCCTAAATAAATGCCATTTTTCAAAGTAGTTCTAGTCCTCTTTTGCTGCAGAAGATGATTTACCCTAATAGCTTTTCCCAATAGCATATCCTGTTGATTTTTCTTTTTTTTAAATATATATGAGAAAATAAAATAATAAATTTTTCATATAAGCTGAAATGCGTAACATACTATATCATATGATAATCGTGAAGACTCTTTCCAACTAATAGATGTAGGATTTATCAGCTAATAAAAAGTGGATCTATTGATGTAATCATCAATTGATATCATACTACGTATTTTAGATGATCAGCCCACATGATCAATCTATGCTACAATTGCAAACTTGAGTTTATTGCTTAAAATGTTACAGGCAAGACAATATTCTAATTTATCTTGAAAATACAATTTCGCTAATTCAGGATCATAAAGGAACTGTTTCCTATTTTCACAGTACTATGAGTCATGTAATCCATAATTTCCATATTTTCTATTACAAATAGGATATGGTGAGCTTCATAGCTGAGATGATGTAAAATCATAATTATCAATCTCTCTAAAACTATTTTTGAATTTCAAGTATGAGAAATACTCTAAGACAGTTTGATAATTAATTCTGGATCAGATCTAGCTTCAAAAATGATAGGCCTTTTTTCTTGACATTGCTTACTGAAGGAGGAAAAAGATAAATTAGATACTTTATTTTTTGGCAAATTTATAACTTCCAATTTATGTACTTTTGATAGTTGCTATAGTTCATTTTCAGTTTCTTTTTTATATCTTTTGTATAATTTAGAACGAATCTTATCTGTTAAAATACTTAATAATCCAATTAATTTGGCATGTCAATCTAGATAATCAGCAGTTAGTATTTTAACAAACTCAGTTATTTTCCTTTTTATATGACTGCAAATAATTTAAATCTCTTTTTTCTCATATAGATCTATTAATTCAAAAAAAAAATTAAAATTCCTAGACTATTGTAAAGTGATAAGACTACGCAACTATCTTAATTTCATGCTATTTATATTTAATAAAGTAAGATTCTGCTTTATATCTACCTTCTATTTCTTCATCATCATGACCTAATTTGCATAATAAGCAGATATAATCTTTATATGACGTCTCATCAGTAATCCTATAATAATCAAAATTTTCACTACTACATTCTCTATATAGATTAGGATATTAATCCAATATCTTATTGTAAAAATAGGAATGATCATAAGCTGGCTTAGATTAGGATGCAGATGATACACTTGCTTGAAACATGTCTGATGAAATCATTTCTGATGAAGCATTTGATTGAGAGAATGCTAATACTTTAGCTGGTATGATTTGAAATGCATTTACAATTTTTTCACTAGTTATATGACTCATGTTTAGCAGTATGATCAGAGCAGTTATGTCACTAATGATCATTTTCAAAGTTACATGACTCTGATTGTGAACATTGTTCACAGTTTTATTGGTAACAGTTAAGTTCACTTGATCTATAATGTATTAAATTTAAAGGTTAGTAAGTCTGAAAATACTGTTAGCACTATAGATAACCTGATTAATCATATACTATTCTATATCTTTAATCTTTTTTAGAATTATAGGATCGTAATCATATCCAAATAGCTTATTGATCTTTCTTGCTTTGCTTTTTATCTTACGTAAATATTCATCAGAAATATCTAAAAGGTATGATTTTATTTCATTATAAATCTGAAACCTTGCTGTCTTATCCTTAAGATTTTTATCTTCAGATCTGAGCTTCATGATTTTATCTTCAAATCTTTCAAAGTAGCAACTCCAAGATAAAATCTCTTTTTGCTTAACTTTGATTGAATTTTTCCTTACTATACTTACTTGATGAAATAAATGGGCAAGCTCTTCTGTGATAGGTGAAGAATTAGAATACTCTCTATTAATAAATTTGGTACTAATAAATTCTCTCTGAAAATCATCTACCAGAAATTCTTGTAATAAGTCTTATGCAATTTTAGTTACTAAGCCTGAATCTGATTCTCTTTGAAAAACATTCTCATTAAGTCTTTCATGCATTTTTTGCATAGAGTTTTTCAATGAAATCTTTTTTTGATTATGAACAATATTTACAGTTTTTGTATTACTTTCATTTTCATCATGATTTCTTAGAGAAGTTTCTATAATATATGATAAGTCAGAAGGAACAGTTGACTCATGCTAAATTTTTTTCTTTTTGTTATATTGCTTTATCTCATCACTAACCCTTTTCTTATATATCTTATTCAAGAAATTATCTGTCTTTTTATTCTCCAATGACTTAGTTTCTATACAAATAGGTTTGCATACATTAGAATCAAATGTGTATTTGATAGTTTTGCCATCTTTTCTAGTTTACTTAGGTGAATAACATTATTGGAGTTCTCAACAGACCCAATAAAAAATTTAATATAAAAATTCCATAAAAATATAAAGTTTTATAATATATAATTTTTATGGAATTTCAGTA